ATTGATATTTGGGGGATTTTTACATATTTTTTCTATTGTAAATTGAATGTGAAAGTTCTTTTCACAGTTTATATATAAGCGCCTGAGTTTCTAAATATTGTTTTTGTTCCATATTTTCAGAGAAAATTGATTTTTACACTAACTGCTCTTTGACATTAACTCATATATATATATGTGTGTGTGTGTGTGTCTGTGTGTCCTGACATATGGTCTATTCTACACTATTTCCCAGCACAAAATTTTCTAAAACTTAAGTCATGCAGTGCCTATAAGATGTTAATCTCAGCTTAAATAGTATTAAAATATCTATATTTTTTAAAATAGTTGACAGATATTTTATATGAGAGCATAAATGACAGCTCTTAATTTGCAATAAAGGAAGATATTCCTAAATTTTTGAAAAAATGTTTTAAGAAGCCAAAAAATGTGGTGCCCATGATTACATAATATGAATATGTTTTAGGGGGAAATCTGTGAAAATATATACATTTTGAATGGTTCAGTCAATCAGTTCAGTTGCTAGTCATGTCCGACTCTTTGTGACCCCATGGACTGCCACACGCCAGGTTTCCCTGTCCATCACCAACTCCCAAAGATTGCTTTACTGAGTGGTTAGTTCTATTATTAAATCATGTTATGTTTTCCCATGTTATATTTTATATATTTGTAATTTTTTTCTGTATCCTTGATAGTAATGACAGTCCTTTATATGTATTGTGTTCTTATTTCACATCTGCATTTCCTTAATGGTAATTTTTTTGCCTTTATGTTTAGATTTGTTTTTAAAAATAGAAGTCACTCTCTCCACTCTTGTGGAAGGCATTTTTTTTTCATTCAATTAACTACTGCTTCTTTTTCATAAGCATTCTGGAATATTTTTATTGTTATATTGATGGAAAGTAAAACTTTAGATGTTGTCTCTTTTTTTGCTTTTCAAGTATCGTGTCTTTACATTTTTCACTAACAGTCCTTTGCTGTTTTGAGCTATAATTAGAGATCCAAAATAATACAATTAAAATTTTATTTTATATGGCTTATTTCATAACAGTCTTATTAAATATCATTTAATACAATTAATTGAAACCACTAGTCTTCACATCAAAGAAGACAATGGCAACCCACTCCAGTACTCTTGCCTGGAAAATCCCATGGATGGAGGAGCCTGGTGGGCTGAAGTCCACAGGGTCAGGAAGAGTCAGACACGACTGAGCGACTTCACTTTCACTGTTCACTTTCATGCATTGGAGAAGGAAATGGCAACCCACTCCAGTGTTCTTGCCTGGAGAATCCCAGGGATGGTGGAGCCTGGTGAGCTGCTGTCTATGGGGTCACACAGAGTCGGACACGACTGAAGCGACTTAGCAGCAGCAGCAGCAGTCTTCACAGGGTTTTATTTTTCTTTGCATCATTTTTATTTTATGAATTGTCATTTCCTCAATATTTTTCCATATAAATGCACACACTTTTAAAACACAAAGCTGAATAAAATATGAGGCCTCTGTTCATTTGAATATTAAATCATAATAGAAAAATTTTATTGCAATCATATAAATGCATATCCTCAGAGACAAATCATATGTTAAAACGATATATTATCTTGGCTTCTGTAGGATTTTATGGAATATGGCATGGAGAAGCCTCTGCATGTTGGACTAGCAACAGGATCAGATCTAGACTGTGCCCATAGCTATTGTAAATAGTGCTGCTATGAACATTGGAGTACACTGTCTTTTTCAACTATGGTTTTCTCAGGGCATATGCCCAGTAGTGGAATTACTGGGTCACCTGGTAATTTCATTCTAGTTTTTAAGCAATCTCCATACTGTTCGCCATCACAATATTATAAAGCAATTATACTATAATTAAAATAACTTTAAAAAATAAAAATAAACAAAAATAGAAAAACGTCCCATACTGCCATGAATTTCAGATATTTTGACTATGTAGAGAAGAAGACATGCCTTTTACATTGTTTTACACACCTTTTACATTGCATATTGCAGTATATGCAAATATAGAAATAAACATATATGTGCATACACAGACAGATATACTAACTTACATACAAAGGACTGAACAAAGAAAACCCTGATATGACTTTGTCTGTATCCTTACTCTGAAGGATGCTCTTTGATAAGTTATTTTGTGTTTTATTTAATCTATTATATTTAATTCTTAGAAAAGATAGTTCAGTTCCTTAGTAGGTCCTCAACTCAGAATATGGAAAAATATTCATTTTGTGTGTCCTCCATACCTGTTTTAGCATTTCCCTGCCCCTGTTCATCCTTTCATCATCTTTCAGCCTTGGCAATTTTGTGGGACCATAATCTTTCAAGTTCATGTGATATATATTTATTCATCTACCATTTCCAACTAAGTCTGGTGTGGGTGGGGTCAGAATGGCAGTGAGTAAGTATAGCATCGTTACATGTGTCAAGATATTCACAACATAGGAAAATAACAAGGAATTAGAAATATACATTGATGGCTCATATAGTTAAATTAAGTGTATGAGGAAATGTCACTTTCCTTTAGAATTATTAATTTTAAAAAATAGTTCATGAGAGAGCTTCCTACAAGCAATGTGAAAGCATATATGGAGTTTTTTAAAGACAAAGGAGGCGTGAACATTTCCAAGTAAGAAAGTGAATGAGACGCGAAAAAAGGGAAGTATTATAGTGGCTCTGAGCATTAAAGTTTTCACATCTGGTGAAACAGTCAAGTTCAGTGTTTACTAGCTCTATGTGGCCAAGAGCAGAGCAATGTGAGTGTGAAGTTTATAGAAAGCACACAGGGTGAGCATCCTTTTAAGCTACAGAATTTTGGCTTCATTCTCCGGTGGCAATTCACTATTCTGAATTATGTATTTATTCATTTTGCTCATTTTTCTACTTCATTCAGTAAACAATCTTTGCATTATAAGGACATCAGTCCCTTTTCTTTTGAATAAATTGATATTTTGCTGCTTTACTGGTTATTCTGGGCATCATGGGGTTTCTTTGGTGGCTCGGTGGTAAAAAAAATCCTCCTGTGAGGCAGGAGACTCAGGAAACACTGGTTCAATCCCTGGGTGGGACAGATCCCTGGAGAAGGAAATGGCAACCCACTCCAGTATTTTGGAAAATCCCATGGACAGGGCTATAACAGAAGTTTCGGTACTCCCTGAACTAAAGAAGCTTTCTCCTCATCTCCTTCTCTCAGAGACCTCCTGAGTTTATTAGGCCATTTTTCTCCCTCATGTCTATTTCTTTCCTACAACTATGCTTTTTGAACTTTTTAAAATATTTCATCAAATAAAGAGAGAAAATAGTCATATTAAAATGGAGAGCCATGTTTCACTGTCCATAGAAAACTTAATAACTGGAATTTGGGTACTACTTCCCCATAATTGAGGGTATAGATAATCTGGTTTTGACAGCTCACCTTGTATTACTTCTGATCTAATTTTGCAGCTGAAGTTGAGAAGATGCTGTGTGTGTTTGTGTGTTTGTGTGTGTGTGTGTGTGTGTGTGTTGAGGTATGAGAGTCCTTATGGCAAGAGGATCTGAACTCATATACACAAATTATTCTCCTTAAAATACAGACACCAGAGAGTAACATGGAAACTTACATTGCCATATGTAAAATAGACAGCCAATGGGAATTTGCTATATGACTCAGGGAACTCAAACAAGGACTCTGTAACAATCTAGAGGGGGAGGATGGGGAGGGAGGTGGGAGGGAGGTTCAAGAAGGAGGGCACATATGTATACTTATGGCGTCATGTTATTTGGCAGAAAACAACAAAATTCTGTAAAGCAATTACCCTTCAATTAAAATAAATACAAAAACAGAATGCTGGCCATCATAAGATTAGAGCAAAAATATATTAAATAAAATCAATAAAATGTATAAAGTGCAAGAACAACATGTGAATGATGGACTCCCTGTATTCCTTAGCATCTGTCCTATCTCTCATCACTCTCCCTCTTGATCATTCCCCTTGACACGCAAACTTCCACTTGAGCCTTGACTATCAGAAACAATGGCCTTCCTCAGGGTCTTAGCACTGGCCATTCCTCCTGCCAGGCCCACATTTCCTGAGATATCCTTGACACCCCAGATCCTCTTCCTTGATATCTCTGTTCAAATGTTACATTGTTTGCCAGTCCACCTGAACACCCAGTAAAAAATAACACCTCTACTACTACCTACTATATACCTTCTCTACTTTACTTCATTTGACATTTTATTATATATCTACTTGTTTGCATTCTTTCTCCATCATTGAACTGTAGGGACTTGTGTCTCTTAGCATATTCTACTTATTCAGGAGATGGTGAGTACTCGATATCTAACCTCAGTGCTTTGTCAGAATCCCTCATTCAAAGTTTACAATACATGACCTCTTGGTGAAAAGACAGATGAACAGGAATTTATAATCAGAGGATGTCCCAAAAGGGAAAAGTTTCATACCAAAACTGTAGGTGTTGATTTCTTGACCGCAAAACATAAATTGTACAATTTCATTTATACCAGTAAGGTCTATTTTTGTTAAATCAGTCTTATTATTATTTTTATTTCTAGGTAGTGACCTCCACTACATGGAATCAGGAAATGATACTCAGATTTCAGAATTTCTTCTTCTGGGATTCTCAGAGGAACCAGAACTGCAGCCCCTCATATTTGGGCTTTTCCTCTTCATGTACCTGATCACTGTGCTTGGAAACCTCCTCATCTTCCTGGCTGTGAGCTCAGACCCCCAACTCCACACCCCCATGTACTTCTTCCTTTCTAACCTTTCCTTTGTAGACATCTGTTTCACCTCTGTCACCATCCCAAAGATTCTGTGGAACATCCAGAGGCAGAGCAAAGGTATAAGTTATGCAGGCTGTATTAGCCAGATGCACTTTTTCCTACTGTTTGCAGGGCTGGATAACTTTCTCCTGACTGTGATGGCCTATGACCGCTACCTGGCCATATGTCACCCTCTGCACTACACAGTCAAGATGAACCCCCAGCTCTGTGGACTGCTGGTTCTGGTGTCCTGGGTGATGAGTGCTCTGAATTCCCTGTTACAAAGCTTAATGATGCTGCGATTGTCCTTCTGCACAGGCTTGGAAATCCCTCACTTTTTCTGTGAGCTCAATCAGGTTGTCCGATGTGCCTGTTCTGACACCTTTCTTAATGACATAGTAATATATTTTGCAGCTGCAATCCTGGGTGGTGGTGCATTCACTGGAATCATTTATTCATACTCTAAGATAATCTCCTGCATACGAAGAATTTCATCAACTCAGGGGAAATATAAAGCATTTTCTACCTGTGCATCTCACCTCTCGGTTGTTGCCTTATTTTATTGTACAGTCCTATCAGTGTACCTTAGCCCTGCTTCTACCCATAGCTCACAGTCAAATATAACAGCTTCAGTGATGTATACAGTGGTCACACCCATGCTGAACCCTTTCATCTACAGTCTAAGGAATAAAGACATAAAAAGGGCTCTGAGAAGATTCATTGGGATGGTGTCTCTAAAAATGCCAACTTACCTCTGGTTGAAAAAGTGTAAATGATTGCCAAGCTAAAAATCTGGAGCAAGAAATTACTATTTTTTGACCAGATTGTAGGTGTAGACCATGCTTTTTCTATTATTTCCTGGTATTTCCTTTGCTTTGACTTCAACTTCTGTCTACATTTAAGAGATTCAATTTTTTAAGATTTCCACTCTAACGTATAAAATATTTTTCTGCTTTCACACAGTCAGAGAATAATAAATAAATGATCATGATACCTGGCTACTAGTTATTTATTAATGATATATACAGGTGCAGATTAGTTGATATTAATGGTGGAAGTTAGATTGGGGGAAAAAATAGATGAGGACTTTTTTCCAAGCAGAAGAAGTGCCCAGGGGTTTATAAAACTTAGAAATTAAAATCCACTGCAAGGAGAAGAAAAGCTAGTTATTTCTTAACGAGATAAGGAAGCAAAATCTAGCAGACATGCAGGACCATACTTGTGGTGAAGAATGGTTGCCAACAAACTGAGTGCATAAACGAGGTAAGAATGGGCTAATGTGAAGTAACTGATAGGACAAGAAGTAGAGTTGTGACGGATGCCTGATGAATAGTGTGTGGTCTTGGTGCGAGAGAAATGAAACTGGGAGGTGACTACTGAATTGCGAATGAAAGGAAGATTTGAAAGCCCTGAATTTTTGCTGGAGAGGTGATTGGATGGCATCACCAATTCAATGGACATACGTTTGAGCAAAATGACCTGCCTTTCAAAATCTTTCCACACACTAGGATTGTAATGCCTCCTTCCCTTCCTCCCTTTCTTCCTTCCCTCTCTCCTTCCTTTCCTTCCCACCATTCTCCTGCTTTTTATGTTTGTTTGTTTTTAACCCAGCAATGACTATTTATTGTCTTCTGTATCCTCATACCTTAAACACCATCTTCCCCCATCCTTATTGTAAACTGATACCCTTGACTCCTAACTCACTGAGAAATCGGAAGAACTTTGAAACAATTTTCCAAAGAGATGCACCTCCATAACAACCCACCCACCAGCTCTACCACTAAAATCTCTGCCTTCCTACCTGTCACTGTAAACACTGCTTCTATGAAAGCCAGTATATACATATATATACATATATATATATATGTATATATATGTCGAATCTCAACAGCTCAAGGGAAGTATAAAGCATTTTCCACCAATGCATCTCTCCTCTCAATTATCTCCTTATTCTTTTGTACAAACCTAGGAGTGTACCTTAGCTCTGTTGCTACCCCCAGCTCAAGTAAACTGCCTTGGTGATGCACACTCTGGTCACACCATACTGAAACCTTTCATCTACAAAACAAAGACATAAAGGGGGCTCTGAAAAGACTCCTTGTGATGGTGAGTCCAAAAAAAGACAGTTACACTGGATTTGGAGAAATGCCCATGACTACTATAGGGCTCAAATTTTGAGAGTCAGTAGTTGTGATTCTTTAATCAGATTGTAGACGTAGAAGTTGCCTTTTAATTTATTTCCTGGAATTTTTATATTTTTCAGCTGTTCTGTACCATGTAATTACATCATTATAAATGAAAATATCCGAAGGCTTTCTCTTCTTTTTCTTTCCTCCTGTGTCCCTTCTTTTTTCTCAAACTTTGATATGAAAAGTTGGAAATTCCCATGTATCTCATGGAACTGCCTTAATTTATTAAGAATCATTTCTTCTTAAATGACAAATATCACCCCATGTAATATGTCTTCAGTTTTACTAAAAGACTAGTCATGAGTTACCACTCATGGGGGGGGGAAAAAAAACTAAGCTTGGAAACTTGGTTGTGTTTATAACATTAAAGAGAGGAAAAACTTGAGACTACAGTTTTTTTACTTCTATGTCCATTGTCCCTTTTTACATCACTTCCTGAATTGATGTTCCTGATAATGAGGACTTTAACATACTAGTGTCTTTTTTTAATATATGTAATAGGCCATTGAGTTTTATTCTGTAAATACGATTCTATTCTCTTAACAGGCTCTATGTCCACATTGAATACCATAGTTACTGGAAAAACTGATTATCAAATACATGTCTGACAGTTTCAGTCTATACATAAATAGATTTAATTAATATGACCTTCAAGTCAGAGAAGACGTTCAACATAATGAAACAAACTTTAAATCACACTTTGTAATATTATGCATGTCATTCCTTTTCAAACTATACATCTACTGAATAAATTAAGGAAAACCTCCTTACCCATAGGTAGCTACTGATGCTGCCGCTAAATCGCTTCAGTCGTGTCCGACTCTCTGTGACCCCATAGACGGCAGCCCACCAGACTCCTCTGGAACCTGGTTTTCTCCAGGCAAGAATACTGAAGTGGCTTGCCATTTCCTTCTCCAATGCATGCATGCATGCTAAGTCACTTCAGTCGTGTCCGACTCTGTGCAACCCCATGGACAGCAGCCCACTAGGTTCCTCTGTCCACGGGATTCTCCAGGCAAGAATACTGGAGTGGATTGCCATTTCCTTCTCCACCCATAGGTAGAAACAGTAAGAAATAGAGGTATTAGCATAATATATAGGAAGCAGAGAATACTAAGAAGGGAATATATGAGAATTTCACAAACTAATAAACAGGCAGTTCATCTCCTAGACTATATGCCGAGACATTCACAACATCATAGTTTTATCCATTTATGAATCAAATTTACATACTAAAAATGAATATATATGTTTCAGGGTCTACATTTCATATTCAGCTATAATTTTTTGTATAGATAGTTCACTAAAAATATGTTTTTAAATTGTAAGAAAAATTTAAAAATAGTATGGGACACCAGTGTCAATGTATAGGGTGATTTCTTCATTGAGGTGAAGGACTGATGAAATTGTTTTACATTTTCTTATTGAATCATCTTCTTCCTGCTTGAAACTCGCAATGATGCCGGCAACAATTATTTTTTCCATTGTTCTACATAAAAAACCTAATTCATTCTAAATACTGCCATAAACAAAATGAGCAGTAAGTGATATTATCCACTTCATATCTCCCATATGATACAATAGAACTCCTTCAGTTTTCATGATCAGGGTTCATGAAAGAACTTGAATTTCTACCTACTCAAATGGTTCAGGGTCAACAGTTTTTCTGTAAAAATATGTGTGTCCTTGCAAGCTCTCCTTAGTATCTGGACAGGAATATCAATGAAGTCACTTTTTAATACAGTTCTGTAGGCTATCAGGATGCCCAAGTGGTCTAAGGCATCAGACTCAAGCTAATACAATTTTGTGAAGAAAAATAAATTTTAAAAAACTTGAGTAACAAAGTAATCAGAAATGCTGTCTCCAAATGTCAGAACATGGTCTAACATAGGGACAATAATCCAAAAAAGAGTGGATATGTGTATGTATAACTGATTCACTTTGCTGCACACCTGAAACTAACACAACATTGTAAATTAGCTGTATTTCAATAAAGCATTTTTTAAAAGCAGACAGTAGATTATTATTGCCCACTTCATTCACTTTTATTATTACATTTTTAGTGGGTTGCCTTATCAGCCATCCTAAAATAAAATGGTAAAACATAATGTGTGTGCATGCTAAGTCACTCCAGTCATGTCTGACTCTTTGTGACTCCATGGACTATAGCCCACCACGCTCCTCTGTACATAGAATTCTCCAGGCAAGAATACTAGAGTGAGTTGCCATGCATTCCTCCAGGCCATCTTCCTGACCTAGGGATTGAACTGGTATCTCTTATGTCTCCTGCACTGGCAGGCAAGTTCTTTACCACTAGCACCACCTGGGAAGCCCCAAAACATAATGTATTTATTATTTAATGGGATGGTATGGTTCGGAATTTTTCCAAGCTCTGTTAATTTCCTCATGCACTTGTAATTAGCTGTCTATCTCTACATATGGTTTCTAAGGCTCATCTGTGCCTGGCTATAGTGTTCTTCCATCTTAAACTAAATTATAGTTAGTTCATTCATTTCTATATCTCTTTAATCTAGTTTAAAGGGAAAAAATGATTTTATGATATGTACATTGCCTTAGTTTATTCCACTGCTCCTATGATCATACATAACACTTTGCTTTCTTCCCAGTTAGAAGACATATCATCCACACTTGTTCGCTGTGGCTCAGCTACCTGTATTTAATCTGACCCTGAGTCATGTATCTTTATATTTTTTCCCCTTTAACTAATTAGAGTATGCCATGCAATAAACTGGATATATTTAACATGTACTAGTAATAGAGGAAGTAGAGGGACTTTTCCAGGGTGACATCAAAACAAGATGGCAGTGTAGGAAATCCTATACCTGTCCCCTCCCAGAAACATCAAACTGAAGAACTCTCCATTCACCAGAATACCTTCAGACAAGCAAAGCATTTCAGGTGAGGCATCACAGCACCTTGATGAAGGAAACTGCTTTTTTTAAAGATGCATTGAATAGAATAGGAAAGACAATTTCACATTATCCCTGTCACTCCTAGCCCAAATCTAGGCATCTCAGGATGAAGAGAGAAACCTCCAACTGGGGGAAAGATGAGTGAAGGAAGTATTTGACTTCACCTTATACTCCAGTGAAATGTCTTTAGTAGTGCCAGTCTAGCCCTTGTGGTCTAGACCTCAAACCAGTTTCTGCAAACACAAGATCTGAACTTGCCACAGCACCAGGCTATTCCTCATGCTTTCAGTGTCCATGCAAGCTCCAGCAGACAGTCCATGCAGACAGTCCATACAGTCTCCTTCGGACACAGGCTTGTGCCTCATCTAAAGCATCATGCTGGCCCCTGAGACACAACATTCAGGCTTGACATGGAACCAATCCAGCAGATGGTCCCGATTCTCTAGGAAATCTCCCTCAAACTAATGATCACAACCCTCACCAGAAAAAAACCAATCTCTACCAATTGAAATATCAAGCTCATAGCAGGGGTCCCTGGTACTTGGTTGGCAACTTTGGACCAAAATTTCATTCCTGATCACAGAATTACATGTCATGCTTACCACCACAGATTCAAGCACCAAGTTTCCCCTGGTGATTTCAAGATCTAGCCCC